CCGCGGCCGGCTCGCCATCCCCTGGGGCCGGGTTTCACGGTGGCGAGTACCGTGTCCCCGCCGCCGCCCGGCCCCGTGCCCGCACCCCGCGGTCTGTGGTGCCGTCTGGCGCTGCCGCAGAGCCGCTGCGGGGCCGGAGCTGCCCTGGTCCTCCCGAGGCCCCCGCTCCCGTTCCCCCGGCGCGGCTGGAAGCCGAGGAACTCCCGGGCCGGGGAAGTTACGGGGCTCCGTGACCGCCGCTTCGGAAGCCGCAGAGCAGCGCCACGGCCGCGGCTGGGGGGGGCTGCGGGCGCTGCCCCCGGGGCACCGGGGGTCGGGAGCATTTCCCGTGTCCTGCCCGCGCTTCGGGGTGTCCCTGCCGAGCTGGCAGCGGAGCGTGTTCGCTTGCGCCGAGGATTGTGCGGCTGCTGGAGAACGTGCCCGAGTGACACCTCCTTCTCGCGCTTTATTTTCGTGTTTTGCCTCAAAAAACATCCCAACCGCAGGTTTATTGCCCCCATGTGCGCAGCTGGCGGGGGCTGGAGCGCGGTGAGGGCCGTTCTGGCCAGCGGTCTGCGGAGTTTCTGGGGAGTGCAGATGGCTCCGGTTGTTGCTCCGTCATTCCCTCAAGTCCGGACACGCCGGCGTTAATGGCTCCTGCCCTTCCTGGCTGTCGCCCAGGTCTCCCCAGCCAGCCCGGAGGTTTCGGCTCAGCTTTTGTTGTCGGAAGGCGGCTGGAGGGAGACCGGCTCTGCCGGAGGAGCTGCCGCAGCCGGGTGGGAGCTGGCAGCGGTGCCTGGCGGAGCGCAGGGCACTCCCGGCTCCAGGTGCCAGGGGGGCATCATCGGGCAGCGTCTGGCACATCTGGGAGCTGCCACCGACCTGGCGGCGGGGCTGGAGCTGCTCCGTGCCCCTTGTGATGTGGTCAGCAGTGCCCTTCCCTCCTGTCCCCGGCTGCGGCGGCCGCTGACCCGCGGCTCCGTGCTCAGGCTGTCGCCGCTGCGTTTCACCGTGGAGGAGCGGACTCGAGGCTCCGTGCTCGGCTTGTGCCCCTCACCTAGGGGTGGTAAAACCGGCCACAGCACGGAGGGAGGGAAGGAGGGAGGCTGGCCTGGGCAGCGGTGCTGGAATGCTCTCGCACCGAGGGGATGCTCCCTGAGGATGCTCCCGGGAAAGGACAGTGAGTGCAGCAGGAACACGAGGAGGAAGGATGAATTGATGCCAACGACAGCAGCAGCTGTCTCGGTTCAGGCAGGTGGCTACAGAGCCCTGGGTGTGCCGGCTGCTGCGATCCGAGCTGGGTCTGTGCCCTGCACAGCCCTCATGGCGGCTGGGAGGCCGTGCCTGTGCACAGCCCACGTCCTGCCTGCTTTGGAAATGCTGCTTTGCAAAAGAAATGGAGCTGCAGCGAGTGAGAAACCCCTGCCTTGCAAAGCGTGCACCGGCTGAGCTGCGCTGGTACAGGCTCAGGGCTGTGTGTCGGTGTGTGTGCATGCTTGTGAGCAGGGTGGGATCGGCCCTGGGACCACGTGAGATTGATAAATGACTTACTTTTAAAGCCAGGATTTTGTTGTCTCCTGCTCCATCCCCTCTAGGGTGGATAGGTGTTTCCAAACCCATGCTGTCACTCCCCTGGGCTCTCTGTGGGTTTCTGAGCTGTTGGTTGGGGTTTCTGTAGTGGGGAGGGCGGCGTTGAGCCTTTCAGCCCTTGGGCAGCCCCTGGCTTTAGGGGCTTGGTGCATCCCAAAGGATGGTCGGTCACTGGCGTGACCAAGGCTGTCCCATCAGAGATGCTGGAAGCAGAACTGTCTCTGCAGGCTGCACAGCTGCTTCATTAAATGAAGCTGATGAGCAGTGTGATTATTTCATTCCTCTGGAAGGAGCTGCTGCTGCTGATTACAGACATCTTCTGTATCAAACCCACCTTAGCCTGCTCGGAGCCCCTCCGAGGCCGATGCTCCCCTCGTTGGGGTGAGGGGGTCTGTGCCCGCTCCCCTGAGCTCCCTCCTGGAGAGGGACAAAGCCCTGGGGAGGCTGGAGCCTGTGTTGATGCTGTCCCTTGTTTTTGGTGTTCTTTGCCCGAGGAGCTCCTGGCTGTGCCGGCATCTTGTGCCAGCCCCTCTGATTATCGAGCCCCCTCCTGGGGCTGCTGAGGGCCGGCCTCGGGCTGCTGCTGCTGCTGCTGCTGCTGCTGCTGCTGCTGCGGAGCCTGGCTCCCAAAAATGCCAGGGCAGGGAGGTCACGGCTGGGAGAATGGTGTGTCTGTGTGGCTCTGAAAGGCGCCTTGTGCCGCGGCTCCTCGGGTCCCGGTGCCTGCGTTCCCGCAGTGCTGGAACCGTGGGGCTGCGCCTTCGTGCCAGGGCTGAGCCTGGCGCTCGTGCCTGTGGTGTCCTTGGGGGGATGTGGGGCACGGCTGCAGCTCCGGCTTGTGGGGTGCCACTGGGGCCCTGCCAGCCCCGGCAGGATGTGGTGGCTTCAGCATCTGCCCTTTCCCCGTCTGTGTCCCAGCCCCTGGCGCAGGGAGCGTGGCCAGTGGCAGAATTGCCCTTTTTGTGCCTCAGGGACGCGCCGCTCTTTCTCAGGAAGCGGCCGATTGTGCTCGCTGGCACTCCATCACTGCCTGCCTCTGGCCCCTGCCCTGTGGCCAGGCTGGGGACAGCCTTGCCCTTGTTTTCTGGGGCTCCCAGCTGAGGGGAAGGCAGCCCCCAGCCCCTAGTAATGCCCATCAGCACAGCAAGGACAGGAGTGGGCTGCTGGCCCCCAGGACTGCTCTGGTGTGGGAATGGGGCTGAGTGACAGAAATCTGGGATGCTGGTGGGGGGCTCAGGCTGGACCACTTTTTATCTCCTTTTCTTGCAGTCTCAGCTGCGGTGCTGGTCAGCCCCATGCAGCTCACTGGTCCCCGTGTCATGTGGGCTGTGCTGCTGTCATCCCTCTCACGCAATCACGGAATAGCCCGAGTTGGAAGGGACCCCTCAGGATCATTAAGGAAAATTCCTGGCCCTGCACTGACACCCCAAGAATCTCATCCTCTGCCTGAAAGCGTTGTCCAAGTGCTTTTTGAGCTCCAGCAGCCTTGGAGCCATCGCCACTTCCCTGGAGGGCCTGTCCCAGTGTCACCTGCTGGGTGAAAAAACATTTCCTGATGTCCAACCTAAATATCATGTCCCTGTCCTCCCTTCCCTCCCCCTAGATGACGTCCCTTTCTTCTGTGTGTGTTTGCTCCTAGGGGACTGGGCTGTCCCAGGTGTCCCCTGGTGCTACACCTGTCCCCAGGTGGCTGCTCCAGGGCCCAGGACTGGGGAGGGGACACTGTCCCCCTGCAGGTGCCATCAGGTCCCCATTGCCCAGGGCTGTGGGAAAGCTCGCTGTGTTCTGTGTCTGCTCCCACCTCAGCCAGGGCTGCCCTGGCACGCTCCAGGAGCATTTTGGGCTGTGCTGAAGCGGGGCAGTGTCTCAGAGCAGCGTGGAAAAGGCCCGTGGTGATTCTGATGGAAGCTGTTTGTTTTTGAAGCTGTTCTGGCTGGGAGGTCCCAGGGAGGAGCTGCTGCTGCAGGAACCAGGTCTTCCTGGCTGGGTGGTGGCATCTGCTTTGCTTCCCTTGGGCATTTCCCGTGGGATTTCCACCCTTGGACAGGAAAAGGGTGCGGGTGGGATCCGCTTGCAATGGAGTCTCAGCCAGAGAGGCCCTGAATGAACGGAGATGCTGCTGTCACTGTGTGGGTTAAACTGCTGCTGAGTTTTGTACTCTCAAAAGAGTAGAGTGACTGAAGGGAAGTGAAGGGAGGGGAGAGCTCTGTGGGGTTTGTGTTTGTTTAGAGGAGTTGGAGTTTTTGATTTTCTGGGTTTTTTTACAGATGTTGCAGTTGGATGCTGCAAACTCTCAGGTCTCAAAACTGTATTTTATAGATCTCACTGTCTGGCGACTGTGCTAGAGGGGGAGAAGGAAAACCCACAGACTTGTGAAAAGCCAGTGTGAGAAATAAATGGAAACTTGCTGCATCACTGAGATTCTGAGGGCAGATCCAAGGGATTTGTGCTGCATCCATGTGGGAACACATACAGCAGGTCCATGTGCCAGCTGCGTCGGGGTCCCCAGCTTCACGCACTTTCCATGGGATTCCAAAAGGAAAGGGCTTCATGCCTCTGTGCAATGTCATTATTGTTGTTTATAACTGAGATTCGTGTCTAAGAGGGAAATGAATTGCTCAGTCTGTCTCTCGTTTTGCAGATGCAGGAAATAGACCATGTTGGGGTAATGGCCTAGAAATTACATTTTGCTTTAATACACAAACCCAGTGTTGAGTTGGGTGACTGAAGGGGGAAACACTGGGGCAGGAGGCAGAGGCCTGGCTGGGGAGGGGTTCTCTGGGGGCACAGGGGAGGTGGGAACGTGCCAGCTCTCCAAGGTGCAGCCCACAGCAGCGATAGTGAGGAATAAATTAGCTTTCTTCTTCAAAGAGACACAGAGCAGCTTAAATGCATTTCATGGCTGATCCTCAAGGAACCCCACAAACGTGGTTGTGTAACAGGGCTGAATGCAGCGAGGCAGGGAAGGGAGGTCCCAAGGATGCTCCCAGAGCAGGGTGGGCTGGGGCAGTAGCACCAGCCTTGGAGCTGGAGGTGTGGGGCTGTGGGCAGCTGCTCTCCCTGGCCCTGGGGGTTTGAGCTGCAGGGTGACCTGGCTCTGCACTTCCCAAGGGACAGACTGGGGCTCTGGCTGGCTGCTCTTCTGGCTCAGGCTGCTGCTCACACTGGTGTGCTGATCTGAGAGCCAGCGTCACACTGTGGTGGTGGCAGTGCCCCTGTGGTGGTGGCAGTGTCCCTGAGGTGGTGGTGGCAGTGTCCCTGAGGTGGTGGTGGCAGTGTCCCTGAGGTGATGGTGGCAGTGTCCCTGAGGTGATGGTGGCAGTGTCCCTGAGGTGATGGTGGCAGTGCCCCTGTGGTGGTGGCAGGGCCCCTGTGGTGGTGGTGGCAGTGCCCCTGTGATGATGGTGGCAGTGTCCCTGTGGTGGTGGCAGTGACACTGTGGTGATGGTGGCAGTGCCCCTGAGGTGGTGGTGGCAGTGCCCCTGTGGTGGTGGTGGCAGTGCCCCTGAGGTGGTGGCAGTGCCCCTGTGGTGGTGGCAGTGTCCCTGTGGTGGTGGCAGTGTCCCTGTGGTGCTGCTCAGTGCCCCAGCACTTGCATGAGGGAGACCATGGGCCTGCCACACTCAATTTATATCTATAGACATAACACTAGTGATTTTTTAAAGGAGGGGTTTTTGAAAACCCTTCTGCTCCTGTCAGGACTTTGCCAAGCCTGTGGGCACCGTTGTGGTCAGTGCTGGGGTGACCTGCAGAGGGCTGTGCTCCCCCAGCACCCCAGGAACTGGTGTCATTCCTCAGCAGCCGGGAGCTGTGCCTGTCTGGAGCCACAGCCGTTCCCACGGGGAACTGGACTGCCAGGTGCTCTGGTGTGTCAAACCCCCAGGGAGGCTCTGGAACCCTCTGTGATTGTGACAAATGCAAAGTTCGGAACGTTTTGGGTTCCTTTGAGATCATTAAAGAACTCATCAGTGTGTGAGAGCAGGTATTGTCTGTGCCAGAACTTCCCTCCAGCAGCCCCCAGGAGGGAGCGGGGATGGCAGGAGGAGATCACCTTTGTAGTCACCTGCTTCATCTCCTGAATGCAGCTGAGCAGAGCTGGAAGGGATGGCGGCTGCATCCACAGCTCCTGCGAGCTGCCAAAATTACCTGGGCTGCCCCTCAGAGCGGGGGGCAGAAGTTGGGAGAGGCAGAGTGGTGGAGCCAGGCGGGCCAGGAGTGGGAGATGGAAGCAGCCAGCACGGCCCAGGTCCTCCAGCCAGGCTGGGCATGGTGGGTGTTGTTTGGTGTGCTCTGGGGTGCAGCCTGGGCTGGGCTCAGGGCTGTTCCCTGCTCCATTGCCACGGGCTGGTCCATGGGGTGAGCTGCGTGGTTCTCCCCTGGCTCTGTGAGCTCCAGCCTCCTTCAGCCCCAGTCCCATCCTGCTGCTGCCCTTGGCTCGGGAAGCCCCTCCTGGGTGCTGGGGAGTGAACCTGGGGCTGCTCCCAGGGGTGTGGCTGGTGGAGCATCCTTTGATGTGCTTCATAAAGTGTGAAGGACACCGGTGACATTCAGAGCAGAGCGTGGGACATGGGGACAGCCGGTGGCTCTGCC